CACACGGAGCATAGAGCCCGATGTGGGGCTCGATCCCAGGACCCTGGGATCATGACCTGAGCCGAAGGCAGATGCTTAACCACTGAGCCACCCAGGCGCCACCCACCCCCTGCTTTAATATCTCAAAGTGCCTAAAAGGCTAAAGTGAACCCATTTAACTTCCTCTCTGAATTGTCTATAACACTTGGCAAATATGCAGCCATTGATGAGTAGTAAAACAATTTCTATACCTGGGATCTAAAAAGTGATGGCAGATGCTATACCCTCCTAAGGTCAAAAGAAGCTTGTCCTTAATAGCCCAATCTCCCAGGGACCAGCCCCTCCCATTTTTGGCCAATTAGATTCATAAGTTATTTTAAATACTAATGATATAGTATCGCTCTCAGTTATTCTAGTACCTTGGCCTTTAGAAGCTTTACCCTTCACTTGCAGGTCTAACCCCTGATGTGTCTGTGTCAGGAGATGGGGTCTTTTGGAAGTAATTAGGGTTAAATGAAGTCATAAGGGTGGGGTCTGAAAGGACTCCAGCCTTATAAGAAGAAAGATCTGGCCCCACTCCCCACCTCCCATGTGAGGACACAGTAAGACAGTGGCCATCTGCAAGTCAGGAAGAGAACTCTGGCTAGAACCTGACCATGATGGTACCCCAATCGTGGACTTTTAGCCTCCAGAACTGTGAGAAAATAAATTTCTGTCACTGAGCCACTCCGTCTGTGGTATTTTGTTATGGAAACCCGAACTGGCTAGTATACCAACTTTAAATGATTTAAGGAAAATAAGTTTTATCATAAGGATATTGTTGTTCAGAAGAAGAGCTCACAGAGTTGCTGGGAAAGCAGAAGGACCGACCTTAAAATGGGTAGGGATCCAAGCTGTTGCAGAGGGATAGAAGTTGGTGCTATAAGAACAGATTCCATTGCTGGATTGAATGAACAACTCTCTCACTTGTCCTTGTGGCATTTACTCAGGAGTCAAATTCTCACTCAGAAGTACCCAACTGGCTGAGTTTATGCAACTTACTTCCCCCTTGACAGTATAGGACAGTAAAAGGAAAGATATAGTCAAAGAAGCCTTTGGGGACCCCCTCAGCTTCTACAGTGGAAAAGCAAACAGCTGGTCTTACCACCTAACAAAACTGTACAGTAGGGAGAGCTGATACTCCAATAAACAAGTCAGAGTATTGTTAAGAAGAGGTAAAAAAAAAATTGTACTGGGGCGCCTGGGTGGCTCAGTTGGTTAAGCGACTGCCTTCGGCTCACGTCATGGTCCCGGAGTCCCGGGATCGAGTCCTGCATCGGGCTCCCTGCTCGGCAGGGAGTCTGCTTCTCCCTCTGACCCTCCCCCATCTCATGCTCTCTGTCTCTCATTCTCTCTCTTGCAAATAAATAAATGAAATCTTTAAAAAAAAAAAATCGTACTAATGTCTACCACACTGTTATAAACAGAATTTGGATATGAGAGCAACAAATGGGGCATTCTGCATAAGGCAACATTATGAGCAATGGTGCAATGGTATATATGGAGGTGTATGTAGAAAACAGTTTTGTTCTTGACATTTCTATTCCCACAAGTCTAAAATACTCTGTGACTTTATTCCCATGGCTTCCACTGCAACCTGTACACTAATGATTCTTAAATTTATCTCTTTTATAGACCATGACACTTACTTCCAAACTTGTGGTAGATTGTATTATTGTCTCAAATTATTTACTTCATTTTCCTGAAAGAGGTTCATATTTCCTGGCTTGTTTACCATAGGAATTGCAATGCTCCCTCTATGGGAGTACACTTCCTTACCCCACTGATGCTGACTTTGGCCGTGTGACTTGCTTCAGCTTATAGGATGTAAACTGATGTGACATCGGATGCATCTGAGCAAAAACTTGAAGAGTCACTGCAAGGTTGGCTCTGGGCATGCCTCTGATGAACGCTGCTATCTAGGCTATGATCAGAGAATGAAGACAACAAATAGAACAGAGCTGCAGTTGATACATGTTCTAAGCAAGAAACAAACTTTTCTTATTAAAAAAAACAAATTTGGGATTTGTTTCTTACCACAGTCTAACCTAATGAAATACGTTTCTCTTCAGTTTTCTACTGGACACACCTTCTGAATGTTCCATGGTTCCAAAGTACCTAAAATTGAACTCCTCGTTTAGTCTCTTGAATCTGTCCTCTTTTTCTCTGTTCCTTATTTCAAAGATCAGTAAGACTGGTGATTCAATTATCTTCATTTTCCCTCAGAAGCTACCCCGACCCCACGTATCTAATATTTAACCACGTGTTGCAGGTGCCACTTTTTTTCTTTCTGTCTCTTCCTCTCCAATCCCTGAAGCTACAAAACTAAAGTCAGACTCTTAGACATGGCATAAAAGATCATCATCCTACCTAGCCTATCACTGTATACAAGTTGAGTGAATAAAACAAGAAGGAACAAACAAGCTGCTGAAATGAACACAAAGCACAGGTTTGAGAATAATGTGAGGTTATTCTATATAAATAAAATCCAGCCTGGATCTTGAAAACTATCAGCCTTTTAAAAAAGACTTCAATCATATTTCCATTGAAAGCTAAGGTTCTCATGACCTGGAGAGCTTAAGAATGTGCAAAGATCACACTGGACTGAGTCAGCAGACTTTGGCAGT